TCTGTCGAACTCACCACTCTGTAGACTAGACTAATGTTCCCACCCATGACCCATCTGATTAATTGTTGGCAGTCAGAGTCCGGCTGATCAACGCGGAAAGCTGAAGGCACTGAAAGTTTTGCACTCTCATACCGAAAGCACTTGCTGACTGGAGCTGCTTCACTGATCATCAGTTGTCTCTTAAGGCAGCAGCAGACTTTGCTGAAGAAGCAATACATTACTACACTGAAGTTGCAAAATACCTCAATATAATAGAGCCCTGTGATTTCCGCGATGCAGAAAACAGAGGAAATCCAGTCATAAAAACGGAATTTACTGTATAAAGCGGAATATCACGGAATGTGTCAACTTCTTGATGAATTAATAAAAGCAGGTCAGTACAAATCAAATCGAATTTCAAACCGCAAAAAGGCTATTTAAATGTGAATCCTGCGTGTCTCTAAATGAATGGCGCAGACGCGTGATTTCATTTACCACACACACTCACTGGAGCACGCGTGACGCTTACGCTGTTTCACACTCAGCCGCATCATTATATGAGGACATGATTGCATAAACACCTCCAGAGTCGCTTAGTCACTTCATGAGCTTTTTAATGCTTCAACTGAGAAAAGTTATCGTCATATCATATCATATCATATCATATCATAAACACACAGAAACTCAAAGATCTCCACGGCAACCCATCAAAATAAAAGTTTGGTTTTTTCATAGGGCCCTACAAATGTAATTTTTGTTAAACTGTAAATAAATTGAATAAGTTTAAGTAATTAGAAATGCTTTTTGATTACTAAAATTTAATTTAAACATTAAAATAGAGTCTTTAAGTTTTACAAAATGTTTACAGAATGCTGCTGGGTGCTCCCTGCACTTTTTAAGTTATTATAATTATTAATATTAATAACAGTTCTCAGATTCAAAGATGTTTAAAATCATTTAAAGAAAGTATTTGTCAAAACCCTTTGTTATTCTTAATTTTGACATTAATTTACATTTTTACACCAGACATATATCGGTTCAAAATATGGGTTATCGGTCTATTTGATCTGTAATAATCGATATCGGCATCGGCCCTGAAAATCACATATCGGTCGACCCCTAGTTTGAATCAACATAAAGGTGAATAATTGATGACATAATTTGTATTATTTATGCCAAGGCTCAACAATAAAGATGTTTTGACAGTCAAGCCAGTAGTTCTGATATTTACTGCCATAATTTTCACTGGAACCACTACAAAATAATGTTTATTTTTACCTGTGTATTTTTATTTTTTGTAGTAACAGTAAAGATATGCATAATGTTACAAACGTTTTATATTTCAAAAAACATATTTTGTCTTATGTTTATTTTCTTACTTGACTTTCTAGTCATCACAGCATTAAAAAAATATCGTTTGCAAAAAAAAAAAAATATATTAATCAGCACAAATTGGTTTCAACATTGATAATAATAAATGTTTCTTGAGCACAAAATCAGCATATTGGAATGATTTCTGAAGGATCATGTGACACTGAAGACTGGAGTAATGATGCTGAAAATTTGCCATTCCAGATATAAATAATAGAAATGAATCAATTTAAACTGTTATTTTAAGTTGCATTATAATATTTTATAATATTACAGTTTTATTGTATTTTTGATCATATATATATATATATATATATATATATATATATATATATATAAACAGCCTTGGTGAGTCTTTTCCAGAACATTTAAAAATATTACCAACCTCAATGTTAGTGTATATTTTTTATTTATATATTTATTATTATTTTACAAAATGTTATTCCTTTATAAACACACCTTTGCTGAAACACAATGGAATATGATTACTTTTGTAGTTTTCAAAACATTCTTACTGACACTTTAAAGACAATCACAATGCAGTGATTGCAATGTAAAATTTTCAGTGACTTTTCTGTCAACTTACTGTTGAGCCCTGTGTGTGTCTGTTTGCAGACCAAAAGTCCAAAAGTTAGAATATTCACTCATTGAAATATTACTAATAAGATTAAGTGTTATGTTCCAAGTCACTTCATATGATTTGATATCGTCACATGATTTGTGTCCATTTTGTACCGCCGCCACAAACTCTGCCACCGCAACCTCAAAAAAGGCCTTTGCATCTCGTCAGTTTGTTTTTCATAATGCTCTAACCACAATCCTCAACCCCCCAAACACCCCCCCCCCCCCCCCCTTTTTCACCCTCAAATGGAAAAGAAGATGAAAAAAAACAACAACAACAACCTCTACTTCCTGTGAAACTGTTGGTCGCACCTCTGACTGCAGTGACGGGGGAGAGTAAAGCCATTAAAATGACACGGAGACAGATCATGTGTGACACTTCAAAGGGTCTGGAAAAAGCTGGAAAACTGAGCAGCGCAACCTCCTCATCCACCCTCCGGCGGGGAAGAGAGGGGAAAAAAACACAAAGCCGACAAGCACGCGCCGCATGGTCAACACAAGCACCCAGAGACTCCCGCGCTCTCCTCTCGGCCTCCCCCCAGACCCAAACACAGACTCGTCCCCCGCGACTACACGTCCAATGATTACACTATTCCCTCTCTCTCGCTCAGAGGAGCTAATTAATGCTTTAATATGCAAATGAGTGCCACAGTAAATTACACAGCTGGCAAATATGCCTGTTTTGCCCCCAAAACTACATCAGGAAATGAGCAAGACTGCGTGTGGATTGTGAATGCAAAGAGACAGAAGGTTTATTTCGAAACCGCGAAGATGATTTCACCTCAAAGTTTGGATGGCGAAAGGGTAAAAGTTTATCTGCAAATTCTGAACAAGTTTTAACAGCGGACGGGATCATGGACAGCAATAATTAAGGACAGTAGAAAGGTCACTTTGAATGCTACATCAATTATATGCCGTATTTAATTTAACACAAATGAAAACAAGTGTGTGAGGGAAGCAGATAGTCTGTTTAGTATGTCATACATCTGACAAATTACTCAAAAACCATTATTAAAGACCGCTAAAGATTAGATGTTACATAAATTACGACAAAGTTCACACAATAGTGCAACATACTGTATGCTTCATAACCTCATTTTTGTTCACATCAAGTTATACAGTGTCTAGTGAGTACATAGAGTCTAGTTTCTAAGCAGACTGACTTCTACAACAAGATATTGGTGACAACAAGTGCTATTTTTTTCCATGGCAGTGAGAGCAGATGCAAAGAAACAGAGAGATGTGAGAGTGTGATTTGGTTTAGCTTTGATAAACATATGACACTTGACTGCTTTGCTATATATGGCTGTTATTTTCATGCCCTACAAACATGTGAAGTTGATGGGAGAAGCCAAGGTACTGTGAAAGTATCACTAAAATATGGAACATGTTACAATACTCACAAACTCAAATTCTCTAATTAAAGTTCAGGCCACAAATAACTTTAAATGTTTTTTTTTTTTTTTTGATGGCACTGAATCTGGAAGGCAATGGAGAGGTAAAAGCAGAAATAAATATGAAGCTGTGGAGCAGAGATAGCACCAACGCATAGAGGCTTTGAGTGTTATCCAAAAAAAGACATAGGAGCAGAAGAAAACAATGATGAGACAAGCATTTGTTTGCTGTCCGGTGACTCTTAGGCCCTGTTTACACCTGGTAGATGTGTTTTTGTCAATTGGATCACAAGTAGACGAGGGAGACACATTCCCTTTTACAACTGGTGTTTTAATCCGTCTCCTTTGTCCACTTTCAACCACTTCTGTCCAGATTTCTCCGAGGGGAGTGTCTATGGGCAGGTAAACGCATGTTGTTGTTTTTTCAGGTCTTCTATTGGACAAAATAAGCTTTTACACTGTGACCGCGGCCGGAGACAACAGAAAAACATACGGAGAGCAGCAGCTTTCGTTTCTGCTCTGACAGCCGCAAGACCCCGCCGAATGCTGTGAGACCGTGTTAAGAATGGCGAGAGTACATTGTGCTTGGTATGTTTTTTGTCTTCAAACCAAACCTGGGTCTTCAGCCGACAAAGTTTAAATCCAGTCTGGCTAGCGCGCTTCCCAAAATGTTTACGCATTAGGTCAGTAGGTGGAGAGTAGGCGGTCTTTTTGTGGCTGTTTGAACGCATTCGACCACATGAGTGGTCTCACAATAGTCTTCTACATAATACAGTAAGCTTCAATGAACAATATTAATTGAGAACAAACATATGTTTACATGGCTAAGAGTAGTTGCTAAGCGTGTTGTGCAGTGATACACAGAACCGTTGGGTGAAACGGTCATAGCCGTATTTTATCGTGAATAAAACACAACTATTGACCAATCAGAATCAAGGACTGGAACTAAACGTTTTATAATTGAAATAGAAAATAACTATCATTTTAAGAGTGTCAGGCTTTACTTTGTGGAAAACTTTAAAAGAAAAAGAAAAAAACGGAAAACAGCAATTTAGGGCCAAAGGTTGTAAATAGGCTACTGTATTCACAAAAGTTCAAAAACTGAGCTGCAATGCCATGTGTGTGTGTGTGTGTGTGTGTATGTGTGGCCTGGCAAACCCTACGTTATGGGGACAAAATGTCCCCACAAGGATGGCAATATCCGAAATCCTTGTTCGTGTGGGGACATTTTTTGGTCCCCATGAGGAAATCAGCTTATAAATCATACTAAGTGATGTTGTTTGAAAATGTAAAAATGCAGAATGTTTCCTGTGATGGGTAGGTTTAGGGATAGGGTTAGTGTAAGGGAATAGAATATACAGTCTGTACAGTATAAAAATCATTATGTCTATGGAAAGTCCCCATAAAACATGAAAACACAACATGTGTGTGTGTGTGTGTGTGTGTGTGAAGCTCATCATAAGCAGCTCATCAGAGGTCCCATGAGCAGGACCTGCTCTCTGTCTGCTCACTCACTCAACTCCAGCCATCATAGAGTCAGACACCATGACCGACCACAAACACTAACCAACTCTTAGTTCCACTTGGAGTCTGTCCCACAAGACCACCTGCCCCTCTACAGCCCTACCTGCATCTCTAATGATCCTTAATGAGAGACATCACAGCAACCTGACTCTGCCATGCACAACAACAGTGACTTTAGGCAAACAGAAAAGAAAATAATAAGATGCCATTGTTGTACATCATTGTCTTAAAGAGACAGTTTACCCCAAAATAAATGAAATTCAGTGGGGTCCAATGTTGTTCTGGACCATATTGACTTTCATTGTACCGGTATATACAAAATTTCATTGTACAAACAGTTCTTCAAGATAATCTTATTTTGTGTTCCATAAGGCAAAATTGACATTTTTGAGTAAACTGTAGCTTTAAGACAAGAACGTATTTTGTAAGAATTTTTTTTCTTCTTAAAATTTCTTATGGACATAAATAGATCATTGTTGGCATATAATAAGCATATACAGATCAGGTCTTGTAATAATTTGATGAGAAATCTTGTTACTTCTAACAAAGTTCATGAATGTGCAAAGTATGACCTTAAGATAAATAACTATAAGCACCTTGATAAAGAGATGGTCCCAACTTTCTGAATTTCCTAAGACTCCCACAATAAATATTTTAGATCAGCAAATAATCAAAAATTAACACCATATAGGCCAATGATCAAATGGATTTGAGCTTCAACAGACACGCCAAATCAGATTTTGTAAACAAAGACCCAAGGACCTACATTCCCTCCCTACCACCTTCCTCTCTTTAAATATGCGCATGTAAAATTGTGCCACACACACACACACACACACACGCACACACACGCACACTTTTCTTTTGAAGAATGAAATTTTCGCTTTTCTCAGTCCCAGGGAATTTTACGAAACTGAATCAGAACACTTGATCTGACCACCCACTGATTTCTGATGGAAAGATTTGCTTTTTAATACAATCGTCAGTCGTTCTGCCACGTTGTGCGTGGCCCAGACAAATCCCAGCAGTGTGTCTTCTTGTACTGCCACAGTGAAATGTCTCATTCTCCATCGGTTAAATACCACCCTGCTGTAATCTATCATGGTGGAAATGTTAATAACATTGTCCTCTGTTTCAGCTGAGCTTAAATATGACACATTTATACACATTTAAGGCAGATGGCATGTTTTCGGGCCGTTTATCGATGAAAATATATTTCGAGGTGTAACTGATTGACAAGGTAAAAACATCAGAATCCAAACAAATGACTGATATAAAAAAATTAATCAAGTTCTGTTTCAAGCTTTAGAATCTGTTTTAAAGAGAGCATTCTGTCCTTTCATGATTTTAATTAACGCTTTAATATGCAAATAAGATAGAGGAGATAAAATCATGACAAACAGATGGCAAGTGAACTTTTTCTGTTCTGGCATGTTCTTAAGTTGCAATATCCTTTTTTCAGGGCTTTTGCAACGATGTGTGAAGCAGCAGCTCTAAGTGATCAGCAACAACTTGTATCTTTGCCTAACTTGGACGGTAACTTCTGTCTTTTCAGTTGAACTTCACTGATACAGAAACACGCAATGGCAAAAATTAGAACATTTTGAAGAGTTTGCTTAAACATCTTTACAGTATTAATTGTGATTGTAAAATCCACAATATGCCCCAAAGTCAATGGATTTTCATCGTTAGACTTGGGCTGGGTAGCCGCCAATTTTTTTGGATGGGTAAAGAAAGTGCAGAAAATTAAGTTTGTCTTTTGTTTTTGGGTCATCAATAGATCATACAAAAGTATACAAAATGAATTGCCAATACTCTTTTACAGCCCTAAACAACAATGTTCCTATACTTTGTGACCAGTGGACCAATGAATGATTTCATCTTTCTATAGGATTTACTGGGCAGATTTTAATTTGTCAGATACAAATCTTTTGAATTCATTTAACATCTATAGTTATTATGTAAATTGGTATTAGTTAATAGTTAGATGTCTCCAATAAAACCCTAAAATATATACACACTATAAAAAAAAGGTTTTTTTTTCATGATACTCCAGTCCTAAAATCTACAATTTCAAAAAGTCTCTGTTATTTTCAATTCGGACCCAAGGACCATCTGTATTCAAAATTACTTTTCTACACACTGAGATAGTCAGAATTATAATTAGACATCTCACCTTTTCCTCTTTCATGTGTTGGTCCAGATCCAGTCTGATGAGTGAACGGTTGATCTTTAAGGCCAATGAGAGAGCCATGAGGCCCCCAGCAAGCACCTGATTCTGCCGTACGTCCAACCGCTGGATCTGTCGACTTTCTGCAAGGATCTCAGCCAAAGTCACAGCACCTGGCACCATGGGTAGAAAATGCAGGCTTAGTTATAAGGTGAAACAGAAATAAACTCCAGAAAAAAGGAAATCTATAAAGAGAGGATGTGCCAAAGAGGTAGAAATTCAGAAAAACAATATTACGAACCCTACCCTCGCATGTTATTCCTGTGGCAGCTAGGCCAAGTTGCAATAAAGAGCGATTGATCATGAGGGACTCCTTTAGCGTGTGAATGCCTCTGTTCTCAAGGTTGTTTTTGCCAAGGTTTAATGTTTCGAGGGTTTTTAAGTGGGGCTGAAAAAAAAAAACAGACAAAACAGGATGTTTAAGAAAACATGCACTGATGAGCTTGTTTTTAAATCACTTTTTAGAATTCAAAAGTGTCCTTTTTTTCTGTGCATTTGAATCCAATTATGGATGGTGAATTTGTGTCACTTTGAGAGCTTTAAGTGTCACACACCGTGGCGTGGCAATAGATTGACTCTCAAGAGCATATTAGCCGCGTCATTTATGAAGCACGATTAGCAGCCATATAAAGCAGGAGATAGCGGAGCACATGAGGGAAAAGCCATGTTGCGTAACAGAACATACACCAGGCCAGCTCGCTACACTCATTATTCTCACTTAGTCTCCTGCTTTAAATGAAAAACTACAGACAGCTAAAAAAAACAAGCTCAGAGATCAACTGACAGTTCATTTGCGTCACTGTTACAATACTCAACATGTAAACACCCACACATCGACATATACAGTATATGTATACAGACACAACCAACAAGCCCAATGAAATATTAAGAGAAAGAAAAAAATAAAATAAAGAAAATGCCATTTCAAATGCAAAACACTTAAAAATTCAAAAGAATTTTTGTCAAGTATTGGTTTTATGTTATCGGGTATATTTCTTTATCCGTAAATACAAACAACTTTACGGGATAGTTCACCCAAAAATTCTGTCATCATTTGCCCACCTTCATGTCGTTCCAAATCGGACTCTTTTTATTCAACTGTGAAAGATAAAAGAAGATATTTTGAGAAATGTTGCAGTGGTTTATTTGCATTGCAATGGAAGTCAATAGGCTTCAAAACTGTTTGGTTATCAAGATTCTTCCAAATGTTGTATTTTGTGTTGCGCAGAAAAAAGAAAGTCATTCAGGTTTAGAAAGACATGAAAACTAATTTTTGGGAGAACAATATAAAAAATACATGTGTAAATATATATATATATATATATACACTGTATATATATCTGTATATAAAATGCACTATTATTAAAATCAAAGGAACAAAAGCAATAATAGAAACAATAATAATTAATAATACAAAAACAATCAAGTGAGGCTGAAAAATAAATGGATGTTTAAAAAAGCAAACTATATAAAAACGTATTCATTAATAAATTAATGAATAAACATTTAGTTATTTAAAGTCCAGTTAACTACTACAAATACCGCAAATTATTGTTAACATAATAAACGTTTCAAGTTTACTGAAGTAGCGTCATTCTAACAGCCTATGGTTGACAACTTCAGTCATCCGATTTCCAATTGGTCAGACAAGGATCCCCTGTAAAATGTGGATAACATTGTGATTTAATTATGTTCCGCTGACATCAGAGAGTTCTGTGTCTGCCCAAATAACCCATTTATTCGCTCTCTCTCTTCTTCTGCCTTTAAAGAAACCCCAGGGGAAAAAAAGAAAGAAAGGTTAATAACAACCCTTCCTGTGTCATATTCGACACGACCAGCCATCGGACTAATTATATTCATTATGGCCGCATGGATGTCTACTTATCCTTCTTAATGACAGACCACATGAAAAAGCCCTCTAAACACATATCTATTATTTAATCAAACTGTTCCCATTTGGTACAGGCAAAATGGAATGAGCAGGCTTTATTTTTGGCCTGAATGAATTCTCTGTGAACACGCCAAAGGCCGAGAGAAGAGAAAGCAGGCCTTTAATTTGTAGCTTTTGATTTAAATCGCCATTCAGATGACAGAAAGGTACAGTTTATTCTGACAATCAGAGCTGCTGAAGAGGAATAGATATTATTAAGGATTAGAGATGAGCTTTCTAGTGAGGATGAGACAAGCCATTTCCTTTTGTTCTCTTCTCTTTTCTCTCTGTGTGTCAAACTCCGCCATAGTAGACCACACACACAAAAAAAGAAGATATATCCAGTAGCTGTCGTGTTGACGGTTTGGGTACTTCCTCTCCAAAGCCCAGCAGAGGCCACATGCAGTGTTACATTTCATCTTTAACCAAAGCCACACTCGGATAAAACAGGAATGAATAAATAGCTGAAAAACGTACCGAGTGAAAATCATTGTATTTAGTATTATGTGCAACCCGCAGTTTATTCTATATAGACCCACTCAAAAACACGAAAGGTGAATTTTTAGGTGAACATCCCACTCTTTTCCATGTAATGAAAGTAAATCAGGAATAGGCCTGTCGAGATTTCCAAAGCCACATGATAGCTTTTTTGTAAGGAACAGATTGAAATTGAATCATTAAACAGTGAAAATCGTTCATGAATGAATCTTTTCAATGATTCAACTGATCCAGTTCACAAACCCAGTGTGAATGAATCCGACTGATTTGGTTCACTGGCTAAGTGACCCGCTACACAAAATTATCAGTGAATAATAATTTCAGTTTGTAAGTCACAAATAGCTACTGTATGGCTTCAAGTGACTACAAAACACAAGTCAAAAAACTATGTTTTGATGCTATTATGGTGCTTTTGCATCTTTTTTTAATCTTCCAGTCCCCATTCATACTACTTAAATAGAAAAGAGTGGATTTTAGATTTCTTCCAAATTTCTCTTTTTCTGTTCCATACAGGTTTGGAATGACAAGGGAGTGTGTATTCTTGGGGAACCTTTTTTCTTTAAATAAAACTGTGAAAAGCATTTGTGAAAACGCAAATTACTGATGCACAATCTACAGATGTGTTACTTATTTTTTACTTCCTCTGCTTTTTTTAATCACACTTCGTAAGTCTAGACGTGCTGTTGTAATGATTAAAATTGCACATATCTCTATTATCTTGCCCGAGAGAAAATCTCACCAGAACATTCTGTAGATGGCTCATGCCACGATGAGTGATGTGATTGTTACTCAGTATCAGCGTTCTCAAACCAGTCTTCTGAAAGCTCAAAGCATCACAAATCTCCTCCAAACCTGTGGAACAAAGAGAAATGACTACACAAGAGCTGAAACCAATTGTATAGTTGAACCACAAAAAGGGGTTTCAACCGTGCTATTGGAAGTGCAAAATACAGCCTCAAACAAAATGTGTGTACCTGAGTCAGACGTGGTATTGTTGCTTAGGTCCAAGGCTCTAAGAGTGTTGTTGTATTTAAGGAGGTCTGCAAGTTGCATGGAGTCCTGGTAGCCGTTGAGCTTGTTTTCAGAGAGGTAAAGCTCCTGCAAAGCGACGTTCCTTTTCAGAGCACCGACTAGGGCAAGAATTGAGAAAAATCTTCGATAAGCAGGGTGCTTTGTCCTTCGCCGAGATATGTGTGCCAAAGAACTCTGTCACAGTGCAACAACAAAAAGATGTCATGTAAGACAATCTGGAAGAAAAAAGAAGAACGAATTTCTAAGAATGCCCACAGCGGTTCACCCAAATGACAACAAAGGCTTATTGAAAACTTTGAGGTTGTATAGGACTAACTCCATTATCATTTTTATTTACATCGCTGTGATTATCACGGTCATCATTTTAATCGTCAACATCATTACGTGTCCCTTTTAGGGCCAGAGAAGCTTTCATGGGCTTTTGTCTGTGGCCTCACAGAGCTGTCTGTCCAAATCAATGCGGCAGATTTGATCAGACCCTTTCGGTTGCATGTGGAATGCCAACATCGTCATCATACACAGTAGGAACCAAACAGGGGGATCGTTGAATTGATCGGAGGGACTCCACTGTGCGAGTCAGCGAGTCCCGCAATCAGGGCCCCACCGATCGATAGCAATGATCAGAAGCTGGGCGTCCCGCTGGGAAGAATGAGGGGGGCGGCCGAACGGCCCCAAAATATCAAATGGATCCACTTGCCGCTTAAAGAGACAGAGCCATGAAGACATAGGATGTGCCACTCCACTCCTCTGTCTCATTTAAGGTCATTTCACTTGGGTTCTGTTAATGGCCTATGTCTACAACATCACTTTCTTTATCTTTCTTTTACCCAGTCATTTTCGGGGGCTGCCATTTCCATTCAGACATTAGCGTGATGATACAGCAGTGACAGCAAACTGTTGTTTGATGACCAAATATAATATGCTTAGGCTATATACTGCATCATATAATACGGTATCCCACAATACGGGACCAAATTTTAAAGTGGATTGACCATTCATCGTGATAAATGAATTTAGCCACAATTTTTCTCTTTTTCTTTCAGTTTTTCATTCTAGAATTGGATCAAAATGCAAAAAAAAGCCGTTTAATTTGTGTATAATGTTAATGTTTAATTGAAGAAAAAAACTATTTAATAAAAAAAAATTCAGTAACTTAAAAACAATCAAATTTAATACAAAATATAAAAGAAAATATACTAAAAAAGTATTTGCAAGTTTTGATGTTTTATTAAAATATCGTATTTATAAAAAATAAAAAAAAACTCAATCAAAATGTATCTTTAACAAGACGCAATTTGACCAACTAATGAACAATCCGCAGACTGATTGAAATTGGTCTTTTGAATTATTCAATAAAAAGATACAGTTCTTAAGAGTAATTTGTTCATGAATCAGACTACACTGAACTACACAGTATGTTTCTGCATGCCATTCATGAGGAAAACTCAAGAAAGATGTGTTTTGTTGCAATATTTTGCTGTGTTGTCTTTTTATCTCTTCAAATTCAATTCAGATTGTAAACTCTCATTCAGAACTGGAGTAAATATGATTTGTTTGCCCTGGCCGTGGTGATTGAGCAATGTTCGAAGCAATGCAGAAAACACAGTGTTCTGCACAGAATTCAAGTTGTAAGAAAGTACTACACTACAAAAATAGCTTATTTTAAAGTGCTATTTTTAATGGAATGTATTCAAGTTTAACCAGAATGCATTGCTTGCATGTGTTTGTAGTTTTTTTTTTTTTTGCAGACAATACCTCGGTCACACACCACTTGCAATGTAGACAGCTCCATGATCTAGCTCTGTTATTTAGCGCCATTGCAGTCAGTCACACACAATGCATAGGACTATGGGGAAGTTTTCATGTATTTTTTACTGCCTCGTCAGTAAAAAATACGATTTTGACCTACAAAATACAATGTCACAATCTTAAGGAAATAAGGGGAAAAGCCAAATTTATACATATTAGATATTCACAACTGTGATCAAACTAATTGTGAGATCGCAAATACAATACATTCACAATTACCTTTCTTATTTTTCTGAGGTGAAAACAGGCTTCCATAGGTTTTACATGTTTTAATAATACATGTCCTTATGACAGTGTCCTTCACAGGCTTGAAGGGCCGCCACATGTCTGTAAAAGCTGTGTCTGTAGTCCTGTGTCCTTTTTAGGAGACAAGCTCTATAGTGCCGTGGGAAAGACTCCATCTCACAGTGAGCTGGCCGAAGTGTCCTGAACGGATCGGTGCAGCAATGTGTAAAGTGACAGGAAGAAGATTACGACATCTAATCCAAGCCCAGTCTAGCTGTTAGGGTCACTGGGCCAAAATCTGCCACTCCTCCCCTTGTCCTGCTTCATCTGTTCCTGCTGGCCAGGGCCGCTCATGGAGAACGCTCATTTCAAACACATGCTATCTGTACTTTAGTATATTGCAGTATTCACACTAGAGCAGGTAAAGCAACTTGCAACTTGTAGGTTTTACATATTAGCACTTTCTGCATTGTAAAAAAAAAAAACTTTAAGAACATTAGGTGTTATTTTTGAAGATAACGCGCCCTTTGGGACTGTATGTTGTGCTGTCGTGATAGAACTCTGCCTACCCTTGAGTAAATGTACTTATGCAGTGGGAAATTTTGCACAGCACTCGCTAGACCAAAACCAAGCCAAATGTCACAAAAAGGCCCTCCCTAATAGGAGTTTATATTAGCACTGATGCAGTTTGCTGTGTTCTTCATGATTTAGCCACAATCGAGGCTTGACAAACTTTTTTGCTCACCGGCCACTGTGGCTAGTGGTTTCCAAAGTTACTAGCCACTCAGCATTTTCACTGGCCACGATTTTGACATCGATACCATGGGGAAAAACTGCCATATAGATATATTTAATATTATCTCAGAATTTGGCAGCAGGTAAATTAGGCTGCTGTCACTTTAAGGCCTGACGCACGGATCCATTACACTGTTACACATGCGTTTTCTTTCTCAACCGTTTACATTCACTTAAAACATAACTTTACATGAATACTCGCCAAGACCGGCATTTTGACATTATTGTGTGTGTATTTGACCGTTTAAGTGCAATAAGCAGTTAAAAATAACTCAATTTAGTACTGAGATGTAGCTTTATGTGCACGCACTTTGGGTGTGAGCACAAAATCTGCGGAATGAGTCCAATTAAGCGTAATTGGCAGGTGTTAATATCAAGCCCTGGTCGCAATAGAGAAGTAAATACCATTGCAACTTTCATTCCATGCCAACTTTAATTGAGAGCAAACACATAAAGAGTCAAATTATGTAGTTAACCCCATAACCCACAATGCACCTGTTAGCATAATTTGCATTTCACAGCACAGGGTCATATTCTCAGGCAGCAAGCACCCAAACTTTCTTCCATTGTTAGCTCGCATACACTTCAATTGAATGGTGTGTGCTGGGCATACCAAGTGTGAAGAGAGGTTTGCCGCTCAGGCAGGTGTTTTCAAGGTGTAGCACTGTCAGCCTGCTGGTGAGAAGGGCTTTTGACAAGGCCTGTGCGGCGTAGTCCACCATAGGCATGTTGCAAGCATCCAGCCTCCACAGGCATCCACTCTGAAGAGACCAGACAGCAAACCATCAGAGAGAGAGACAGAGAGACTCAGAGGCCTGGTTTTGCCCTCGCTGCGGACTGGCCTCTCTGTCTCACCCTTTCTCATCAAAAACCACCCTGTCTACAGAAGCAGAAACGTCAAAACCGGAAAACAATTCTGACGGGAGGTTCCCAAAGATCTGCAGGCCATTCCGGAGTTTCATCCTATAGTCCACCACTTCAAAAGTGTCCAGATTTTTTTCTTCTTTCCCTTTCTTGGGAGATTTTGATTGATCTCATATAATACTGCCTGAGAGCGTGCCTTTGGTTTTTACCATTGAAGTCCTCATCACCGTAAGGTGATGCTGTCTTTCATCTAGAGCTGTTCCTAAATGAACACATATTGTCAGGGGTTTTATGAGGACTATAATGATGTCCATTAAAATCAAAGTGTGAATGAGGCTTTATTCAGCAGTGCGAACATTTTCATCTTTGATGCATGCGATTCATTGCTTCCAATTCAATCTGAATACCACTGTGAGGTATTGGTTCACACTTAATGACACTTTTAAAACACAAGGTGTGTTTCTGAACTTTAAAAAAAATGAAGGCAACGTTTCGTTTTTTTTTTTTTTTTATGTGTGTTAATGTGTGTTTTAAAATAAAATGTCAATTTAAAATGTCAAGTTGCCATAACGTGTTATATCTGCCATAATTTTAGGATTAAATAAATGTAATGTTTAAAAGAATATTTTTTAAAAAGGAGTCAGAAATGCAAATCGTTATATTACATGGTTTATATTGTTCAGTTTATTTTGTTTATGAACAAATAAGACTCTTTTCAGTGTAAGAATCGTTCACTTCCACTGAATTATTTAATTAAAGAATAATTTTTATATTGTAGTGTAGCCTACTAATAAAATTTTAAAACGTTTTAGCATTACATATTATAACTGAATTACATATTTCACGACCCATTGGGCAGTAGGATTAGATGTGCAGTAAATCTTACCCGTCGGAGGAGGTGTGACAGTGAAAGCCAACCTGAGAATCCCATTCCTGAGTTTGAGGACACGTTGAGGTGCGTAGCTGATTCGTAGTACAAAAACATATCCAGCAAAGATGATGCTCCCTTATATGAGAGAAAATAAATTAGTATCAACAAGTAAAAAGAATCCTGACATAAAAAAATTATATTTTGGACAAAGCTTTTGGGGCGGACTGACATTAATCTGGCGTCAGAGTTTGGTTGTCGGCGGCGCGAATTCTGCAGGGCACATCATCGCTTGATCGCGACTACTGATAAATAAACATCGCCACGTCAAAAGTCATATTTTACCAGAGTGTGAAATCCTAATTTAATGTAAGGAGATACATTTATCGTCTAGCGCGAAATAATGGAACGAAAACACTTCCTGTTGCGCCCAATAAATAACGCTCGACTAAGGTATTCACAACAAATGACGAGTCGGATGTCGGCCTGGCTCTTTCAATGAATCCTTCCAAAAAGACTCATGGGAGCTGGACTCAAGAAGAAATATTGGAATCATTATCAAATCAAGTTATTTCTTTCAACGATAAATTGTAAATATACGTTAAACAAAATACATCAAAATAATTTATTAATATATTAGCCATCTATTTATTTATTTGTTTAAAGATGTTGCAGGCTGACCCTACCACGCGGTTCGGAAAACTTTTTGAAAATTGAAATTGACTAGTGACCGTGTCCGTGACCCAACAATTGAACCAAGTGTGAAAAAAAGCTTTAACTCTTCCCCCACTAGCGTTTTTGAAAAAAGTTGCCACAAGTCAGCATTTATTCACCAGAGTTTCATGACCTCCAGAATACTTTGTTGTAGCCTATAGGCCTATATGAATGTCTGAACATGCAATTATGTCAAAAGAAAGACCAGAACCTCTGCTTAAAAAAACAAAAAACATTTTATTATAGCTCCTGCATTCCTTTTTAGCAAAACTTTTTAGTAGGCTACTCATTTTTTATTATATTCAATGGTAACAACACAGAAAGACATTGTGACAAATCAAATACAAACCAAAAAACAGTTGTACCACCCTTTTTAGCAAAACTTGAATATGGGTAAGTTTCATTAAAAAAAAAGCAACATTTTGAGCAAAAAGCTGAGAAAATCGCGTTTTTATCAAAGATCCAGATCGGATTCAGAACGATGATCAAAACATAGATGGAGTAGGCTAGATCGAGTCCATCAACATTCCCAAAGCTTCACAGTCCAACCACACTCCTGGGTCGACATTTCATTCGGTAACATTAGGGAGTTTGGACTTATGTGGCGTTTAATATTGATGATCACGTTATTTTACATAAGTTTCTGCTTCTTTTTCACCTGTGTTTTGATCAGGAGAATCTCTTTCAGAAGATTTATATAGCGGCCCCTACGGTATAACAGTGAAAACACAGAAAGCCGAAAATTTCCGTCAATGGCGGACAAAAGAGTTAAAAGCAAATGTTCATATACTTACATTTTCCTCCAGCTCGGCCCCCTGCAGACTGATAAAATCAAATTGCACTGATTTCAGGATCTCTTCAAGAGATTCACAGGAGCAATAATCTAACCGTTCACCTGGAAAAGCAATCAGAATGGAGATACCACTTTTTACACTGTAAAAAGTGGTATCACCCTGGCCTGGACAAAGTGTGAAGCGCATTTGCTGTGACAAATTTCGTACAGCACTGGATAAACTAGCATACACCTAGAGAACAAAATATCTGCCCCTTCAAGTGAGACATATTAGACACTAACACACATAACACGATCACGTCTGATCCCCTCCCTTCAGTGGAGGAGACAATCAAAGAGCTTCTGATTATGCAGGAACAGATGACTTTTAAACAAAGCCCTGAGAAATACTTTGATGGCCACAGCAGTCCGTCTATATTAGACACGCGTTGCAAAGGCCCCCTTCCCCTCATAAACTCTTATCTTCCTGGTCGGGGAGAAGCCAGATCGCTCAGAGCTGCATGTTGGGGAGATAATAATTTATTCATCATTAGCATAATCATTTGTAATTTTTTTTAACAATAATCACTTAACTGTACCACAGGAAGGGGGGATCAGAAATCCCATTTTTCTAATCCCCTCTGCCATGTGCAGATAATGACACTGAGACTTAGAGTTAGATGCCATCAGTGTGCGACTAGGGCGCAGGAAGCCAGAACATGCTGACCCGCACATCAAGCTCACGTCTACTGGTATCAATAACCGCTGTTTCAGTCATCAAAGGGACAGCGCATTTTAATCCCAAACTGCCCTTCAGCGTCGGCATGTACATTTCAATTAACAGGCTCGTCAAAGTTCTGATCTTATCAAAGTGTGGTAGCTAAAAAGTAGTTGCTGTTCACTTAAACCACACTTCAGGGATAATGGGAATAGGCTATCTTTACAGCTAAGCAACTTAAAACACACATACAAAATAGTTTAAAATACACATGTAAATATAAAAAACACAGACGGAGCATACATTTTGTTTAGGTTGTCAATATGACAATATTACAGAGCTTTCAGCGGAAAAATATTTCCTAATAATCACTGCCGTCCATGTCTATAATTCTATATTTCAGACCGCTGAAACTCAAGAAACTCTAATGGACATTCGTAACTATTTTACATTTTGCTGAATTGTTGACTAATTCGTATGAATTTGTACAATTTCATTTGCACGTTTTCATGCAATCCGCGTACGCCCCACTGACGGTTATTTAGGGGTGGATCTTAATGCTTATTTAAAAAAAAAAAATGTTTTTATCGTATGTTTCCGTACAAATCACATTGTATGAATTCTAACGAAATCACTAGGCTACCTCATTAATATAGATGCGTTTTCTCATCAGATTGGGTTGAACAATTTTTTTTATTATGAATTTTTATTAGAGGAAGCTTAATTTAGCTCAGTCAGTCAGCATTTCATTTCTGAAATACTTTTACATATTATTTAGGGTCAACCAATGGCATGGGTTTTGGGCGCACTATTATTCGGACTTTGCGATAGTCCCGCCTCAAACTTACGTCATTGGTTTGAGACAATGTCACTTTGTCAGGATGCTCATATACCTTGTTTTGTCTCAGTTCCAAAAGTGAAGGGTTTTTGGGCCAGTGTTTTACTGATTCATTGTGTTTACAATTGTGAAAGAAAAAAAGCAGTTATGGCTACATATTCTAATGGCCCCATAGTTTCCATAGATTCCCAGAACAAATAGACTTATAGCCTTCCACATTTTAGTGCAGCACAAAAGGGCAAATTACCTGAGTTTTACAACTGAAGAAAAGATAAACAAAACATCTGATTGCTAAAATGCATGTTTGAACCTTCCATTATTTTGTCACGGTTGGTGTGCGTCTCCTCCCAGAGTTGTGTCTATGAATTTGAAAGATTCTCTGTTTGTTTTAGGATCGCGCGGTAGAGCGTTTACAGCGGGTCAGACTAGTGATTCCAAGTACGTGCTGATGGAAAGAAGAATAATGCTGGAATACTTGGACGGATGAAGGGATGAAAATCTCAGGTGAAATGATAGCACTGGGGGGATTTTTCTGGCGGTGTTTATAGCTTTGAAAAAACAATAATGCTGTTCAAGAGGGATAGCAAAATAATAAATAGTGAATTATTGAACTTACCTGACAGGTCAAAACACCTGGCTCTGTCGGTAACACAAGTAATTTGCTGCATGAAAAAGAGACAGACGGATCAAAATCAAGAGATTTATGTACTCAGAAAAGATTTTCAGGGTTTCAATATTTGCCATTATTGAATATTTCAAAATTGAAAGCAAGAATTATGAATGTCACAAATGTTTATGACAGCATGTACGCTGTAAAATGTTTGGATTTAACTTAAAATATTATTCGTACAGTGTCATCTAAAAAAAAAGGATTAATTAAAATAAAATATTTATTATATAACAAAACTGTATCAACCTGACTACATTGACCAAAAGTCAAATTTAGAAAGAACATTAAAAAAAAAAAACATAAAAGTGTCAACATATGTATTGCATTGGTCTCTAGGATAAAAATGATGCAGGACTTTTCCTGTAGGCCTATGTGGGGGGGAAAACAGGTCTCAATTGTTATTGTGTATTTGTGTGATAGGCTACCAATGAGCTAATGCTAAAGTATTTTGTGAAGCTTATACAGACACCATAATACCTCAAACAAAATGTAATCATCAACATTTGAAAGTGACATCGCACAGTTTATGTAAATTTCTAGTACGTCACACAGCACAGATCATTTTAGCTCAATCTGGCAATCTAGCCGCTAGACTGTAGCTAGCAGATGGCAGTTAGCATCTATCAGGCAACGGACTGATGAAGTCCCTCAGTCAACCTGCTGTAAACACGAACAGGACGTCATATGGGATTTTGCGTTTAGAGCAAAACAAATTAAGCATCGCAACGTGCGAACGAACACTCTCCCGGTTTAATGTCATTCTGAAAGAAAAGTCTCAACAAGGATGACTTAAGGCCATTGATTTGTACCTCTCTTTCTTTGTTTGATGTTTTCCATCTTAATAAATGTGGAAACTTCTGAAGCCCATTGCTGCTAAGCAAGGTTCTGTGCTGTGTATTGAGGAAAATGAAATGACAAAGTACAAAATGCATTGATGTGTCAGGAGGGAGAGGACAAAATGAAGTGATAAAAAGAGCTCTGCTTCCTCCAGGCAGAATGGGACACAGCTTATAAACTTGACTTCCACAGACGGCATCTCAAGTGCATTTCCAATTCTTCACTCAGACTCCAGGAGACCCACTCCAGCGCTCGGCAGTCTGGGTGGCTTTGTATTAGCAACTGTTTGAGAGCATATATTTCTCCTTTTTTTCTTCATTTAATTAGTTGAAAAAATTAGTTCGAAACATTTTATACAGTAAAAGCTCTCAGGGATTCAAATCAGCCGCACATTTTCCTTTCAGCATCTTTTCTGCAATAAAGGATAAATTATTTAAAATAACACGACCTTTTATCTCACACCCTTTGAAGGCAGCAAATTAAAAATGTAAATTGGGATCTAATTAATATGCAAATATATTCATTCCCAGTTAACAATTAGCAATTAAACCTGCAGTGTCTAGAAAGAGCATAGACCAAATTAATAACTTAATTTATCATTAACAAAATTAAAATGTACACAATTTTTTTTATTTTTAAAATTGTTACGCTGTCTCCCTGGCTCTTCATCAGCAGCAGTGCCGGGGAAAAAAAAAACACACACATTTAATAGAACAATTTGGTGCTTGTCATAGAAAATGATAAATAACTAGCCTAAAAAGCAACATGATTGGCTACATGGACGGTGACTGCAGCGTTGCATCTTCACACAACTGGGAAGGAAATAAACATGCCCATTTCATGCGGTAAAGAAAGAAATCATTGCGAATCCTCAGTCTAGAGAGTGCAATGGACATTAAAGATTAAAAGTGTGAAAGTTATTTATACTCTACGGTGTTTAGATGTGAGAGATGTGAAATTCTACTCCGTACTGGGGGGGAGGGAGGACAGTTATTTCACTTCAGACACTCTGTGGCTTTCTGATGAATGTTCATCGCTCAGAGCTAAGCAGCTCGACAGAGTTAGGCTGGGAGCAAGGATGTTTTTGGGGAGCTCTGCAGCACTGCATTCGCTCTAATGGGAGGACGGTTCAGTCTGAAATACAAACTTTTCACAAAATCTACGCCTTATCCTGCAGGGAGATGTGAAATGCTGAATCGTTTGATGATGCTTCCTCGGCTTCTGAGGCGAGCACTCATACTGTATGGGGCGCTTCTGTAAGTCTTTTCTCTTTGTTATTTTCTGTTACTACAATTGCCACCACCTCCGACAGGATTTGCACTTCAGTGGCGGTGACACTTCAAGAAACGTTACTCATTTACAAGCCCCTGGGATAGTAACTCATATCAAGAAGTTTCTGTGTGTTCTGAGACGGAGTGGACACGGAAAACTTCGAGTGAGAAACTTCAAGACACTAGCTTATGACGCTAAACAAAGAAAACGGGGTAGCCTATATATGAGGGTGAGGGTGAAAAAAATTATTAAGCATTTAAGCTTGTGTTGAACTAAGAGGGCCTGGGGTCCTTCACACAGGCCTTTTGTTTGTTTACCTCTTCTATGAAGACGTAACCAAAAGCAATACTGTTTTACCCACTTTATAAAAAAAAATCAAAGAATAGAGAAAGCCCACGGGTACAATAACAGCTTTAAATAGATTTCTGCAGCCATCCTCTTGGGATGATCCTGCCTGGGAAAAAAAAAGCACCTAATTTGATAAATATGCTCTTTAAGCAGCAAATTTCATTTAGCATTCTCTTATTAGAAATTCACACGCAGTTCTCAACTAAATATCCTTCCTTTTAGCTTCTGCTTAAGCATACATATTTCACCCTTTTAGGGGGACCACCTACATTCCTTTCAAATGCAGTGGGGTTCATTAGCGGCGTGGAGATAATGCCGAGAGTGTGTTTAATGTAAGCACTGCTAAGTCCCTCATTTTCCACAAATAATTCTCCTTGATCTAATCGTAAATTTATGCAGAAGAGAAAACTGATGCTCTTAACGTTGCTGGTCAATGTAAAATAAGTGCGGAGCTTGAATTATGCATGCATGCTTGTGTGTGTGTATGTGTGTGTGTTTGTGCGTGCGCTTCTCATTTCCTTTCATTTACCTGTTTGTTATTGTCTTGCTTTTTTAGTTCAATGAAACGTGGTTGGCTAATTAACCTGCTCCCTAAGAGGGATTAAAATGTGTTTATTTTTCTTTTCATCCTCTTTCTTTCATTTCAAAGTTATTTTCACCAAATAATGTTCATTACACATAGCTATTTCAAACCAAATCATCTGCACAAATAAACTAATATTAGCAGGGAATGAAAGCGTGAGAAGTGCCGTGTGTTTTAATGCACATTATTCCACTGTACCTTTAATTGATCAAGAGCCTTTGTGTTTGGTTTCACCTGGTGCTTTTCACAGCTCTGCTTGTAGGCCAGAATTATATCTGTCAGACTGAGACTGTCAGCTAAAACAGAACAAACGTATTAGAGTCACAACAAGAATATTCCATTTTTAATCCTAAAAAAAGGAAATTAATCAGCTCCATGAGATATAGGATTCAGGAATTAGAAAATTCATGCATTAAAATATTTTTCTTGTACATTCATTTATTTTCTTTTTCTTTACCTTATGATTCAGGTTAAGAAGCCCAGTATTTTTAAAAAACAATAATTGATCAATTGTGATAGTAAATTGATCAAAAGTGACCATATAAAGACTTTTTTCAACACTGATAATAATAAGAAATGATAATAAATCTTTCTTGAACAATAAATCAAAATATTATAATGATTTCTGAAGGATCATGTGACACAGAAGACTGGAGTAATGATGCTGAAAATTCAGCTTTGCCATCACAGGAATAAATTATATTTTACCTATAATATATTGAAAATTTTAATATATATTTAGCCTTGGTGAGCATAAGAGATTTCTTTCAAGAACATAAAAAACCCCCTACCATATTATAACTATTTATGTTGCTTTTGTGTCAAATGTATGATGTGACATGAACAAAGACAAGCACAACCGATCTGAAGAGGCCGTCAGCATAACATCAATGCCATCTCACCCTCTTGAAGTTTAACCCTGCTCTCCACAAAGTCAGACACCATCTCCTCATCTGGGGGAAATGATACACGTTTTTCTCTGCCCTCCTTCATGGACAGAGATGTTGTTTCTTCCTCTGAGTGCCCTGTCATTCTTCTGGATTGAGCGATGTCTCACGAAGTTGACTAACCAAAATTTCCATCAATATGTAGCTCTGATGTCATGTACTTCTATGTCAGACATCCCATTAGCTCAGACGTCAGTCCTTTGAACTATAAAATCCATCATATAAGATAACATCTCTGGACACATCATGTTTCCCTTTTTGCTACAGAAACCAAACCATTAAATGTCCTCCAAAATCTGCTTCTGTCAATTATTGTGTCGTTATTCTGTGGCCTAGTCACTACGCAAAAGAAAACCTAAACTCGCAGCATAGCACTTGTACAAAACAGTTACAGGATACCACATTACACACTTAATTATTCATGAATTATGTGCCTCTCAAAGCTAGTAGAACTATATAAGTCAACATCAAATATGCACAGGGGGAAACAGAGCCTAATATATTTTTTGAGGATTACTTGCGGTTGTAAATACTTTAGATTAAATGTGTAACAGTATGAGAGAGTATGACAAACTCAAAGTTTACACTACACAAATTGGACTCAAATATATGAATAGTGCTCTATAAGATGTTTTAATAAACTAATACTAATAAACAATTTTGTATATATATAGGCCTACATATATATAATTGTAAATGCCTAGTAAATGCCTTAAAATATCAATTTAAAATTGTATGTATTAAGTTGACAAAATGTTGTATTTTCTCTACCCACCAGTAATGTTAGTTTTTAAAAATTTATGAGAAATCATTTCTGTTAAATTCATATTTATTTATGTTCATATTACAGATTTTGGAGTTCCACCCCCTCCAAAAACATAACCAAATACAATATCATGCAGTAATTCGGTAAAGAAACACTGCAATACATTTACTAATCTTGAAATGTTCTGCAAAATAGAAAAAAAATATTTTGCAGCATTTTTTCAAATTGGCCTATTTATTATGATATTAAAACAACGTAATTTTACTAAGTGTTTGTGGAAAAACAAATGAAAAATACATATCCCATAAGGCATTGCAAAACCAGGAACCACGCAGCCCTCTTTCTAACCAATCGCGTTCGCTGAGCTTCACTCTGAAGAGCCGTTTTGCGGGAACTTTGGAGAGGAAGAGCTGTTACAACCTGCCACTTACGCGCGGAAAGGTTAGTAGAATATTCTCGATCTGCTTCGATAAAGTGTCATGTCCAAATATGTTTACTAGCGGATTATGAGTACAAATTATCGGCTCTGTTGTGATACAAAGCCGGCATAAGGCAGCTAACTCTGCTAGCATAGCGAGTTGAAATAGTTGAGTCGCAGTTTCCCCCCAAATACAATATAAATAACTCAGCGTCACTTTCATTGATAATATCATGTGACATTAACCGCATGTTGATCTCTCCTAAATACTTGTATCATTCCTAAACAAAGTAAAGCAATGAAAAGCTATTAATGTCTGTTTTTATTTTAAATATAAAAGTGAAACAAACAGCATCATTGGCAGGACTGCAAATTGAAACTATATCCCTAAATGTCATCGTCACTGACCTCATTAATTGTAGTGCTTATACGAATACATCTCTCATGTTGAAAGTCTGGCTATTCAATATATCAAAGTTTATATGTCAATAATTATGACAGAACACTCACCTTCATGTCAGTCACACCCTAGTCTTGTTTGTACAGGTACTGCTAGTGTATTAACGTTAGTAGGCCTGTATCTCTGAAAAAGCACATGTGTTCAGTGCAGTGTAGCTGTGACAAGTTATGTCCATAATCAGATATATGAATATAGACTTAGACTACATCTGATGGTCAGGCCTTCCAGAATGAAAATTCTTTTCATTCTACCCTGCTCTGATAAAGTGAATGAAAGGAGGACTTTCATGAATGAAAGCAGAATGAAAATTCTTTTCATTCTACCCTGTTTAAAAAAAAAAAGTATTATTATTATTTAAAAAAAAATATATATATATATTAATTGTAGGCCACTAACCAAATGTAAGCAAATATTTGACACTGAGAGGGTTGCCATAGTCATAGAAAATCTCGACATGCATTTTCAAAAGTGTGATTTCCAGGTCTGTAAATAAAAAATAATAATTTGTAAAAATGTATTTAGACATTCTGAATTTAAGTAAAGTTTTCAGTTAAACTATTCACTCTCTATATATAATGTAATGAAAAAAATGTTGTATATAACTAGAAATAATGGAAAATAAAAGTATTATCCCTAGGAGGGCTGGGCAAAATGGACAAAAAATATCTCGGTTTTTGTTGGCTTGAGTGCCGATATACAGTATATATCTCTGTATTGTCTACTTTTTTTCTATTTAAATAACAAAATTCTGCTTTAAAAAAAAAAAAACTGTTATTTCCCATCCTGCCCAATGTTGTCCTCATATTAAAGGCTATGAAAATGAAAATAGTGATTGTAACCATGTAGGCTGATGCAATGTGTAAGATGGCGCTTGTTCCCTGAAGTCTGTGAAATTTAGCAGAGACTCGCTTGCATAAGGATTGTCCACTCCTGACAGCAAAATGGTAATATTTATAGATAGAAAATATACCTGTGAAAAGTAAGTTATGCACTAAGACAGACACCTAATATCAAACGCATTAAACAAGCCAAGTATCTGTCAGAGCAAGCCACTTTAAACTATACGTGTTAACTACACTCACCGGCCACTTTATTAGGTACCCCATGCTAGTAACGGGTTGGACCCCCTTTTGCCTTCAGAACTGCCTCAATTCTTCGTGGCATAGATTCAACAAGGTGCTGGAAGCATTCCTCAGGGAGTTTGGTCCATATTGACATGATGGCATCACACAGTTGCCGCAGATTTGTCGGCTGCACATCCATGATGCGAATCTCCCGTTCCACCACATCCCAAAGATGCTCTATTGGGTTGAGATCTGGTGACTGTGGAGGCCATTTTAGTACAGTGAACTCATTGTCATGTTCAAGAAACCAATTTGAAATGATTAGAGCTTTGTGACATGGTGGAAGTAGCCATCAGAGGATGGGTACATGGTGGCCATAAAGGGATGGACATGGTCAGAAACAATGCTCAGGTAGGCCGTGGCATTTAAACGATGCCCAATTGGCACTAAGGGGCCTAAAGTGTGCCAGGAAAACATCCCCCACACCATTACACCACCACCACCAGCCTGCACAGTGGTAACAAGGCATGATGGTTCCATGTTCTCATTCTGTTTACGCCAAATTCTGACTCTAACATCTGAATGTCTCAACAGAAATCGAGACTCATCAGACCAGGCAACATTTTTCCAGTCTTCAACTGTTCAATTTTGGTGAGCTCTTGCAAATTGTAGCCTCTTTTTCCTATTTGTAGTGGAGATGAGTGGTACCCGGTGGAGTCTTCTGCTGTTGTAGCCCATCCGCCTCAAGGTTGTGCGTGTTGTGGCTTCACAAATGCTTTGCTGCATACCTCGGTTGTAACGAGTGGTTATTTCAGTCACTGTTGCCCTTCTATCAGCTCGAACCAGTCTGGCCATTCTCCTCTGACCTCTGGCATCAACAAGGCATTTCCGCCCACAGAACTGCCGCTCACTGGATGTTTTTTCTTTTTCGGACCATTCTCTGTAAACCCTAGAGATGGTTGTGCGTGAAAATCCCAGTAGATTAGCAGTTTCTGAAATACTCAGACCAGCCCTTCTGGCATCAACAATCATGCCACGTTCAAAGTCACTCAAATCAACTTTCTTCCCCATACTGATGCTCGGTTTGAACTGCAGGAGATTGTCTTGACCATGTCTACATGCCTAAATGCACTGAGTTGCCGCCATGTGATTGGCTGCTTAGAAATTAAGTGTTAACGAGCAGTTGGACAGGTGTACCTAATAAAGTGGCCGGTGAGTGTATATCTTACGAGTTATTTTGAAGCCCTTAATATAAAGCATGTCATGTTTAGGACAAATTGGCACTTTCCCCACAGCAGCTCACTCAGTGTCCTCCACTCTTTTTCAGATGCGCTCGTAATATCAGACTACTGTATATAGAAACTGTATTGCCTCATCTCATCCTATATCATTTATAAGAATATATCGATATATCACAACAAACTCCATACAACGCCTAGTCCTAAACCCTAGTAGTGGTCCCAAATTCAGTTGTAATGATGCTTGGGTTTCTCTTGTTTGATACATTTAAGAAAAATGCCACCTAAGTCCAAGGCAGGTGGGGTGAAGAAAGCGAGAGCTCCACCCAAGAGGAAACTGGCTGAAGAATTCCCACCTGGAGAAGTCCTCACAGATAACGCAAAGAAAAAATGGAAGCTTGGATCTGCTGTTGGGCAGGGAGGTTTTGGCCTGCTGTATCTCGGTAATATTTGTTTTAAAAGTATGAAGTTCTAATGCTTTATTTGGATTTATTTATCAGTTGTTCAAATGTAAATTTGTCATATATCCTTTTAGCTAATGAGGACTCTTCAGGATCTGTTGGCACTGATGCACCTTATGTCATTAAAGTGGTAAGGGACAGTGTGTATCTTTTTGTGTGTATATGTCCAGAGTTTGAATTTCTTCGAATGCCTGTGATGTTTGGGTGGTCAGAATTAGTTTTAATGTAATGTTATTTATCAATAGAATAATTTCTGTGCCCGTAACTAGAAGAAAAAAATAGAATACAACAGAAAATAAAGAATTAAATAAAAATTGCAATTTTCGACAGTCATTACATTTATTATTAAATAAACAAAAAAAGTGCCAGAGACCGTAATATCATAGAGAAGCAACCACCTAGCTTCCAAGCAACTTTTGCATGAGCATGTACCAATCACATTTTCTTGAGGAAAATGTACAAATGTTTACATTTTACAAGCATTCCAAATAAGATTTTGTGCTTTGTTAAAATGGCATGGATATGTGATAATGGAAGTACACTTTCCCTCTACAGGTTTTTTTTTTTTTTTTTAAATGTATGAGGGTTCACGTTTTTTCCTTTTTCTTTTTTTCTTTTCTAAATGTCATTTATTTTTGGTGCTTATTTTACTGTCTTGCAGGAGCCAAGTGACAATGGCCCTCTCTTCTCTGAACTGAAGTTCTACATGCGAGCTGCCAAACCTGATCTAAGTATGCCCTTGTGACTGCAAACACACTCTCATATGCATGATGAGCCAGGCTGAAAAAAAGTCGAAGAGCAACTCTTTTAATTAAAGAAAGTTCTGAGCTCACCATTGAGGGCCTTATGGAGACAGACAAACCACAACTCTCTGCTTTTGGTGGCTCTTATGGCTGCCCCAAGGCCACAGTCTTGCGCTTTATTTAATAACAATCCAAATGTCAGTCTCCCT